AAGTTAAGAAAAATTACCTACAATGAAAACTGAAGTGTTTTGCTTTTTTTCTAAGATAATTTCAGAAAAGCATTCACATTTTCTGTATAGGATTTACCCCTTGTCCCTTACCTCCCTCCCAGCTGATGTCATCGGGAGGCTCTGACTCTATCTGCTTAAGCCTCAGAGGGAAAACCCAGAGAATTACAACAGTGGTACTTTGATCTATCTTAGCTACAAAATCTATGTGTTAAAACCCCATTCCTGAAGAATACCTACATCACCTTCAAAAAAGTCATGAAGCAGATAGCTATTCCATGCACCATTCCTCACTAAAACAAGAAACAATCACTAAGTTTCCCAAATTCATTCATGGCACAATTTTAGTATAAATTCTTCATGCTTTTTAAAATATCAATATGCTGAAATAATCTTTCTACATAATGATTCTAAGTTCATCCTCCCCAATGCTGTGGATGGTTCCTCTCACCATACTGAAGCATGATCCTTCAACCTCACTGGGGTCTTTCCTTTTTGTTTTAAGCATCAAGAAGTTCTTCTTCCCTTGGGCTGGAGAGAAGGCTCAGTGGTTAAGAGCACTGACTGCTCTTCCAGAGGACCCAGGTTCAGTTCCTACCACCTACACGGTGGCTAACAATTGTCCATAACTCCAGATCCAGGGGATCCGACACCCTCTTCTATCCTCCATGGGCACTGCACAACATGGATGCACTTTACATACATACAGGCATAACACTCATACACATAAAATAATAATAAATAAAAGTATTTTTTAAAAAGAAGTTCCTCTTCCCGAGTCTTTTACTTGTTCTCTCTCTGCCCTGAACACCCTGGAGATCCTCCTTGACAGAGTCTTGGTTCTTTTTTTCAGCCCAGAGCTCTCAGCTGAAAGGTCCCCTCTGAGAGGCTATTCTGACCCCCCACTGGATGGACCACTGTCTTTCACATCTCACTATTTTATTTTCTTCTCAGCATTTATACTCCCTGTGGTTACTTTCCTAATTTGTTTCTAAGTTCTTGATAGTACAGCATAAATTCAGTTGAGCAGGGACCTTGGCTCTCTTGTTCCTGCGTTTCCTGCAGCAAGGAAAAGTATCTTTCACACAGTCGCTACTCAGTCAATATCTGCTGGATAGACGAAGGCAAGGGTTAGAGACATAAGGGCAGTGACAGAAAAGTACTGTCCAAAGAAAATTACTGTGCACAAGCGAGGAAGTTTTCAAAAGGAAAGAAAGTGATAACCATCAACAGGGAGGCAGATGAGAAGAGGATGAAGAATGGAAGGGAGGCAGGAGGCAGAGGAGAGAGAAGACAGAAGGAGGAAAGGCCAGAAGAATAGGAAAGAAGCTGCCATCATAAGGAAGGGCGTGTCCAGGTGTGAGCGCTAAGTGACCTTCCCCTGCATCTACCACCTCTGAATTTAGGTTTTTCTTTAGAAGTTAACTGCTCTGCTTCCCCAGGTCTACACTGAACAAGCTGTGCTTAGAGTCACAGTGGCAGAATAGTCACTCAGCTCCACTTTGTAGAAGAGACATGGCCCTGAAGCAAAGGTGTTGTGTCTAGGACACAGATCTAGGGAGCCCCAGAGCTGGCTCTACCCCGATTCCTGATGCCTAGTTTGTTGTAGATGAGCAATGGAGATGTTCTGAGTTTTTAATTTCTGAAAACCTCAGAATTCTGCTCTAGTAATTTACTGTTTAAAGGTGGCTTAAAAAAATGCAGGTGCAAGCACTGCCAGAGTGAACGTCCCTCTAAGCAGAGTGTGTGTGTGTGTCTGTGTGTGTGTGTGTGTGTGTGTGTGTGTGTGTGACTAATTACTACCTCTGACACCGCACAGTTGCTGTTGTTTCTGGTCACTTGCCACACAGGTGAAACTATAGATGTGAGATGCGGCAAAACCGCAAACGATTTCCTAAAATGAATAAGGATTTGTAGACGCTGGATTTAGACTCAGTAACAAATGGTGTATGTGATGAATAAGGTGAGGGTTACAATGGTTTCTATACTGAAAAATCTTAACTTTTATTTTATTTTTTTCACTTAAATCTGTTTTTCTCCATGAGAAATATTAAAGAATGACACACTAAAAACAGAGAAGTAATTGTAGATTATCAATCACGGCTCACTCCCTTGTTCTCAGTTAAGAATCATAAAATCTAATGTAAATTTCCCAAATTTATATCATTCAGTAGTTTCTATTTTCCCATTATCATTATCATCATCATCATGATCATCACCACCACCATCATCATCACTATTACTGAAACAAAAATTAGCAAATAGAATGGAATGAACCATTCTGAATTGTAGCTTCTTTCCCTTCTGTTTTTCCATGATAAAATGACCCCCAAATTACCAAATCATAGGTCCTGTCCACTCAATTCAGCTTACTGGTTTTGTTGTTGTTTGAGACAGGGTTTCTCTAGGTAGCTGTGACTTGTCTGGTACTGCGTTTTGCAGACCAGGCTGGCCTTAGTCTTGCAATGATCCTCCTGCTTCTGCCTCTGAGTGCTGGAATACAGTATATACCACCACACCACTTTCAGCTTATTTTTAGACAGTATTCATGCCAAATATCTTTTGATTAAGGTGGAAAACATTTTATAGGAAATCAGAAGCTCTTCAGAGTTCCTAAGCTACAGGAAAAGTCACTTTTGTCATCTCATAAGGACACATCTTCTCACCCTGTCACAAGCTATTTCTTTACACAGAAACTCAATTCTGTTCCAAGAATTCTTTGGCTCTAAATATAGCTCACTAAATAGATACAGTCAACAATGGTCAAAGGACCAATGATCCATCTCCAAAAAGCTTGATTACTGACAGAGAAAACAATTACAAATATTAACTAAGGAGCAAGTTCCAGCCACCTAATGTCTTTCCTGGATAATCAACAGAGTTCAATTTGTTTAGCTAGTTCACGATCTTCCAAACGCCTACTCAACTGCCCCATTGGAGCCTCTGTGTGTAAGACATACAATTTCTGTGCATATTTCTCTCCAATCTCTCTGTTAAGTTTTATGTCACATTTTTCTCTTGATCTTGTTCTATGTGCATGACTATTATATTTAAAAACATTAAGTTAAGTCAGAATCCAAGCTACTCACAGAATGCAGGCTAGTTTGGTGTCTTGTGAAAGCTTGCTTCTTACTTGTACATTTTTATTTTATTAGGTATAGCCAAATCTCTACCGCTTAGAATTTATAACATCCTTACAAACTGCAAATTAAACCATCAAGGGTTTCCCTTAAGCATAAATCATGCATTACTCACTTGACAGTGACCCTGTTGGACGTATCCTGGAGGTCACTGGGGTCAAAGAGTTGAGATTCTTTAAGGCCGAGCTCTTTACAACCTCTCAAGAATAAGATGATATTGTCCTGGAAAGAAGAAAAGAAATCCAAGTCTTGTTTTAGATTGTCTTTGTGAGCCAATTCCTCCTCGTTAATAGCGTAAATTGCTGTCAAGATGCCAACTATTATCCCTGCTAAAGTCACATCTAAATCATGGTGTGTCACATAACAAAATTATAGTTAGGAAATTCCAGAATAAACAGACACTTCAGACTTCCAAATCCATGACCATGCATTTTTTCCCCTTCAGCTTGACACATTTGTGAATAACCTACAAGTAAAATGCCACTGTGAAGAAGAACTTCACATCTTTGTGGGGAACTGTGTTTTTAAAAGTCAGATACTGCCCACTGCTTCAAATTTTCCCATGCCTTATTGCCTAGAACCTGGTATCAGTAGATATTTAAAAACAGAATGAGAACTGAGGAGATGGCTCAGTTGGTAAAGGGCTTGCTCTTCAAGCATGAGGACCTGAATTCAAATCCCTAGCACCACATAAAAAGGCAGGCGAGAGTGCCTGCCTATAACTTCGGCACTAGGAAGGTGGAGACGGGGATCCCCGGGGCTTGCTGGCCAGTTCATCTTGCCAGATTGGTGAACTCCCACTTCAGTAAGAGACTGTATAAAAAATTAAAGTGGAGTCAGGCATGGTAGCACACGCCTTTAATCCCAACACTCAGCAAACGCAGAGGCAGGTGGATTTCTGTGAGATCAAGCCAGCATCTCTACAAAGGGAGTTCCAGGCCAGCTGGGGCTATAGGAAGACCCTGTCAAAAAAAAAAATACAGTGGAGTGTGAACAAGGAAGATACTCAACATTGGCCTCTGGCCTCCACATGCATGTGTATGCATGTGCATGCGTACCTGTACACACAGATGCACACATGAACATATAATACATACAAAATTAAATACATATAAAATTTTTTAATAATAAAAAGGTTTTGTTGCCTAAGGTGTTCTCATCTTTGAGTTTTTCTAGTTAATTGATCTAAAACATATCCCTTATGAGTTGTATACCTTTTATACATTCATTATGGGTTTTGACTGACAATATCTTTTTAATGATATTGAATTAGCAGGAGGAGGAGGAGAGAAATCAAGTCCTTCCATATTCTGTCATGTCACATTTACCTCATTACCCACTCGACTATTTAGGGGGAGGAAGGTAAACAGTAAGTAGAGGGAATGTGGGAGGAGAGTTGGGGGTGGTGTAAGCACAAACTTTCATGGTATATATGCATGAAAATATCATGGTAAAACCCATTACTTTGTTTGATAACTAAAAAGTTAACAAAAATAAGAAATCTAGTCAGGTGTGGTAGCACATGCCTTTAATCCCAGCACTCAGGAGGCAGAGGCAAGCAGATCTCTGTGAGTTCAAGGCCAGCCTGGTCTACATAATGAGTTCCAAGAGAGCTGGGGCTACAGGGAGACCCTGTCTCAAAAAGACAAAAAAGAAAGGAAAAAAAAAGAGAAAGAAATCTAGGAAGGAAGGGGGGGGAAGAGGGGCAAGGAGAGCTTTTGAGAAATGCAAAGACCCTCCTGAAGGTGAACATCTCTCTAGCAGGTACAGATTTACTTCGAGGTGGCGGAGAGGCAGGCTCCATTGACAGTTCGACTGATAATTACAGAGGGCTCTGAAGAATCAATGAATGTTTCTGAAAGTTGTTGCAAATTATGGGTCATCCTTTGAGGACTCCAGGATAACTAGTCAGGAGGTTTATTAGCTCCAAATCTCTAATTGTCTTCTTCCTAAGAGACTTCTAAAGGTGGTTGGTGACTGACCCCATCAGTTTGTGAAAACTACGGGAAAGTCAGTTCCAGGAGCCACATCAATGAGAAACCCTCTAAATGCTGGAAGAAACTGCTGTCAACATCTGAACCGGGGATGCTGTAAACATCTCAACTGCGTTCATCCCAGTAGTTCAAAGGAAATGGAAAAGGTAGTATTTTTATTTATCTAGTATGTAGACAGGATGCTAAGACCCCCAAGAATCCCGCATCCAGATGTACACACCCTAGGTAATCTCCCCTGAATAAGTGAAACCTGTGGATATGAGGTTACAGTAGCACTCAACAAATGGCTCTGAGTTAACCAAGACAAAGAGTATCTGATTGGCACTGATATAATTAAGGGAGCTTTTAAACAGAAGGTGATATAAGCGTTCCTGCTGGCTCTGAGCTCCACAGCTGCAAAAGCTTGAATTCTGTTAAGTGCCAGGAACTTGGGACAGGCTTGGAGGACACCAAAGATCTCAGCCCCCCAACAGCATCTTGATTTCAGTCCTGGGATACTCTGAGCAAAAGGCCCTCCTTGTCTTGCCCTATCCAGCATCTGCTCTATAGATAATAAATGGGTGCTGTTCTAAAATGCTAGCTTTATGATAATTTTTAACGTAGGAATAAAAAATGAACACACTCAGACTCTAAAGATTAAAAGCAATAGCAGCAAGCTACTGACCTTTCCATGGCCCATAGTAATGGGCCCAACACTCTTCCAAGATCTGTATTTATTATATTAACACATTCAATCCCTGAACAACCTTATCCTCACCTGACAGATCTGAAGTACGGATCAATTAAACAGTTGTCCAAGATCACATAGTTAGTAAAAGATGCAGGCTACAAAACAATGTGGTTTGAGGAACCCAAGCTTGGAGTCTGAAGACAGAAGCAAAGAACAGTGGGGCTGTGGATGGCAGGGTTGACTACAGAGGTTCTCACAGATGGGGAAGGCAGGCTACGCGAAGTCAGGGGCTATAACTCTGAGAGATGTATGCCCAGGTGGCAGCTGGAAGGAAGAGTCAGCTAGGGATGAGGCTGGAGGGTGCTGACAGTGTGCAGAAGGGATTTAAGAGGCAGGAGATGGAAGACCAATAAGGAGGAACAGCAGCCCCTCTTCCCCCACTGAGAGGTCTTCATCCCAGCACATTTTCTTGTATGAAGCTCTAGACATTTTCAGGAGGCAGAATGCACCACCATTAATGAGTCCTGGGAATCCCCATGACCCGTTTCAGCCAACTGTGCGCCAGTCACAAAGGATCTGAAACTGTCCAGATCCTCACCAGTCTTTTCCTTAGTTACTTTCCACATTTTTAAATCACTGAATTTAGTAGTTCCTGCCTAACCCCTGAATTTTTATTTTCCCACCAATATATTAACTTTGTCTTAGGAATAAAGAAAAGGGAAACAAGAGGAGAAAACAATCTAGTCCTTGTAAAAGAGCCCAGATTTTTCCATTTGTACTTTGACAATCCTGCTATTTAATTAATTAGTTCATTCATTCATTCATTCATCTTATATTTTGAGATAGAGTCTTATTCTGTAGCCCAGTCTGGCCTTGAACTCATGATGATCCTTCTGCTTCAGCCTCTCAAGTGATGAGATTATAGGCATGAGCCACCATGCCTGGCCAGTGACTAAATTTAAATATATTTTAAAAATATCTTTCCTTTCAATAAAGTTATTTTGCCCCAATATTTCATTTACCATATGTGGAATAAATGATTTTGGATTCTTTTTCCTTTTTTTTCTTTTTCTGTTTAAAAAAATATTTTCTTTTTTAAATTTTGTGTGTATGAGTGTGTTGCCTGCATGCATGTAAGTGCATCCATTTCGTGCAATGCCTGATCAGAAGGAGGGGTTGGAGTCCCCTAGAACTGGAGTTATGGATGGTTGTTAGCCACCATGTGGGTTCTGGGAACTGAACCTGGGTCCTCTTCAAGAGCAGCCTGTGCTCTTAACTGCTGAGCCATTTCTCCAGACCCTTGGATTCTTTTTTGGTTCTCTTTTTCTCATCTACTTAAAAAAATTGTTTTGTTTTAATTTTTTCTTTTATGTGTATGCGTGTACTGCCTGCCTGTAAGTAAGTGCACCCATGTTGTGCAATGCCTGAGGAGGACAGAAGAGGCTGTCGAATCCTCTGGAACTGGAGTTACGGACAGTTGTTAGCTGCCATGTGGGTGCTGGGATTCGAACCCAGGTCTTCTGCAAGAACAGCCAGTTTTCTTAACTGCTGAGCCATCTCTCCAGCCCCTTCTCAGCTACTTCTGTCATCAGCACAAATATTTCTACTTGTCAGTGAAGCTGGGTCCCTCATATGCCCTCTTCTTCCTTGCTTCCAGATCTGTCCCCATTCTCAGAACACTTGTCTTTACTCAGTCCCCTGGCTCCAAATTGGACCACAGTGCTTCCCAGACAGCAAAACCCAGACTCCTTCTCCCTGGAATGTGGCTATTCCCAATGCAGTGGGAGAAGCACATGCAGATGCTTAATTGATACGTTTGTATAATGATTGGCTAAAAAAGTGAGTAGAAAAAAATTAATAAAAGGCATCATTATTCTTAGCACATTTATGACCATATATTATGTGAAAATTTCTATAATAGTTTTGGAAAATGTGAATGTATTTTGTCAATGAAACTCAAGGCTTAGTAGTGAATTCTTTTCACAAAGGTATCTACTTTAAAATCTTTTTTTTTTTTTTATTAGAAGAAGCATTTCATTACAACAGCATTAACCTATTCAATAACATTTTTCTGAGCTAGGGTACATCTCTTTCAAAATTGGCTGTACATTTTTAGGTTTACAGATGAATTATTATGCTTATACAATCTTTTACTCATTATAAACTCTATAAGACATAAAATTAAATGAGGTTTTAACGTTTAAAAAAGATCTCCACTTCGTTGTTAAAATACACAGTTTCATACAGTACTTTAAAATTTTAATTACTAAAGTCAAGAAAGCACGTTCAAGATCAGTGAAGGCTTTAGCAAGGAGACTATTTTGGTGAGCTAGGTAAAGTATTTATAATACAAAGAAAGCATTTGTAGCCTGTGTACATTGAGCATTTACCCTGTGGTTGGTCTATTCTAAGCACGTGTAAGGATTATCTTTTATCCTCCCACTGTTGTCTCTATTGGACAGATGAGCAGTTGAGGCACAGAGCATTTACATATCCTACCCAATCGATCAGCTGAGCCCACCTCCTAGCTAACACATCACAGACAGAAATGAGGTTTC